CAGTTCATGGAGGAATGGATTAGTTCTGAAGTAACCCTATTTAAAAATACAGCATGAAAGCATCTATAAAAGCAGCAAATGCTGATTATCTACATAAATGTGCCTAATAAAAATATGCTTTTCTGCATTCCTTGTTTTATGTCTTGGTCTAATCGACTACAGCTATGAACACTGTAGTAGGGAGGAAAAGGAACCATTTAGCAACTGTTGCATCTTTCGTATCTCTACAGCTTCTGGAGTCCTCTGTGAAATAGCAAAAGATGATTTCAGAAATTAATCTATTATTTTTCTTTGAAACTATTTCAACAATCTTTTTGCAGACTAAATATCTGTTCTCCTACGCTATAAGCTGTCTCCAGAAGCTGGCTTAGCTGGCTGACCCTGAGTTAAGATGCAGACATTGCTACCTCTTGTGGCAGAAGTGGTATGCTCATCAGAGCTACTGAGGCTTCTGAAATTCTTGGATAGATTGCAAAGCCTGCTCTGCATCTTGCGTCTGAGCAAACTAGGAAAGCTGGAAGGTAGGAAATATTCAGACTTCACAATTTTATCCATCTCTTCAATGAACTTAAAATTGGTAATCTGTTACAAAAGAAGTTAACAGAAATTTGTCTGGCATAACACTGTCTAGCAGCTTCCCATCAAAATCCAGAAAGAGTGGAATAATGCGCAGCACTGTGTCTGCAGCCAAGTTTGACAAGAAGAATAAAGATGTTCACTATCAGGTTGAATCATTCTCTCCATGGTGGAGAGTGGAAACAGTGACCAATAAAAAGGGAAGCCAAAACACCTTACAGCATACAGTAGCTGAAAAAGACTGGAAACAATTGCCAAGTCCAAGCCTGGTTCAATAATGCAGTCGGCTGAATGCTGAAGGTTGGAAAAGACCTCCAAGATCATCTTGCCCAACCATCCACCTATCACCAACATTTCCTGCTAAACCACGTCCCTTAGTACAACACCTGAATGCTTCTTGAACACCTCTAGGGTTGGAAACTCCACCAGCTCCCTGGGCAGCCCATTCCGGCGCCTGAGCACACTCTCAGAGAGGAGTACTTCCTAACATCCGACCTGAACCTCCCGGCACAGCTTGAGGCCATTCCCTCCAGTCCCATTGCTGTTACTGCTGAAGAGGCCGACCACCACCTCACCACAGCCACCCTTCGGGTCATTGCAGAGAGCAATAAGGTCCCGCCTGAGCCTCCTCTTCTCCAGACTGAACAGCCCCAGCTCCCCCAGCCGCTCCCTGTAAGGCCTGTGCTCCAATCCCTCACCAGCTTCGCTGCCCTTCCCTGGACACACTGCAGGACCTCAACGTCTTTCTCGTAGCAAGGGGCCCAAAACTGAACACAGCACTCAAACACGGTACTTCCCTGCTCCTGCTGGCTGCATTACTTCTGATACAAGCCAGGATGTCATCGGCCTTCTTGGCGACCTGGGCGCACTGCCGGCTCACGTTCAGCCAAGCACTGAGCAACACCCCCAGGCCCGTTTCTGCCACACAGCCTTGCAGCCACTCTGCCCCACACCTGCAGCACTGCCTGGGGTTGCTGCAGCCAAAGCACAGGACGCAGCCCTTGGACTTGTTGAACTTCACCCCAGTGGCCTCAGCCCAGCTGTCCAGACCCCTCCGTAGGACCTTCCTACCCCCAGGCAGATCGACGCTTCCTGCCAGCTTGGTGTTATGACTGTGTTGAAACCACAGTCATCAAGGACACTTCCAAAACAAAAGACTGTTTTCTGTGAACCTGCTTTAGGAGTTATGCACACAGTACCACAGACAACACTGATCAGTCCTAGGAATTTCCACAATCCAGAAATATACTCTTCCCTCTAGCACTGAAGGTAGAGGAGAACTCAATAAATGCGGATGTGTGCATCAGTTATCAAAACTGGGTTTTGTGCAGCAAGGAGGGGTTAGTGGGCATGAATACTGGCAAATCTGTGTTACGGTTTGGAGAGGAACAGACTGAATAAGTCTGTTCTTGGAAGGAAGAGATGCTTTACATAGTTTTTTGTTACAGCTCCCTTTTGTTGCAGGTTTCCAGATTAGACCCATTTTGTTTGTCATTTCACCTGCTGCATGACTTTGCACAAGAATCAGAAATCACGTACAATCAATTCAGGTTTAAGTCTCTACACAGAATAGCACAATAATTCATTCCAGAACAGCTGAAGTTTCACACTTCCAAATTCAAGTAGCTCTGTCAAGTACCTCACAAGCTGCGAGAATCAAGTGCTGAGGTAGAGACCCATCCTTGCTCAAGAAATTCATCCCTGTCCAGGGTAACATGCTTTATTTAAGCATTCAAACAGAATGCCTGACGCTATCAAATTTAAGAATATTCTGAAGGCCTTAAAACCAACTAGCTCTTGTAGGATTCTGTGGTTTCCATTGCCACTTGGCTTCAGCCACTCCCATCTTTAGGGCATTTTGAAGTATACAGGCAAAAAATAACAGCATATTAACCAGTGTTGTTTTCATCAAGAAGCTCAACACAGGAACGTGTTTCCTGAAGCCATGCCATTCCTGCCAAGTGCCTGCATTGTTTGCAGTAATTTTGAAGAAGCCGAAAACAGGCTTCTGCAAGGCTTTCATCACTTCCAGCAAACCAACTTCATTTCCAGATTTAGCTGTAGTTGAAGCTAAAATAATCATGGCAAGATAATGTATTAAGACTAGATCTAGATAAAACTGCCTAAAACAGAAGGTAAAACTGATTAATTATAGCAGGGTGGAAAACTAAGTTTGATTTGAACTATTGCAAGTTTGAAATGTATTTTTTTAAGCTGTTTGTTTCTTATTAAGAATTCTCCTAAAACACCTTAGTAAACAGAAATGACTAATTAAGAAAAAAAATAATGTATCTGACAACGCTCTTGTAAAAATACCACAGAAAAGCAAAAGACTGACTCGGTTGAAAAGGGAGTGTTCTTAATCATACAGCACTTACGCAGAAGAGTTTACTCTGTATTCTTTCAGGTTTGCTGCAAAGCCACAGAACAAACACAAAAGGCTACCTGTAGTAAAGGCACAGGGGACATTTCTGGCAGAAGCAGGAAGTGAGGTACATCAGTTGTCAGGATTTCTTACTCTGCAAGATGTGTATTACAGCAAAAGAGCAGCTTGCATCTGCCCTGCATTTAGTACAACCAGTAATCTGAGCTCATCAAAGTTAGGCCTTCTGGTTTCTTGTTAAGGACCCTTCTTCTACCTGGAAATTCGGATTTATGTTAATAAATTCACTTCCTACAGCTATCTTTTAACACTAAGCATATAATCTTTATCTGGAACATATTATTTTCAACTGTTTAGATAATGTTAATTGGAAAACAGGCTGAGAAAATCCAACATGGAACAAATAGAAGTGCAGTCAGATCCTTTTGTTTACTCACAGTCACAGCAGTGACAGTTAATGTTGCATCACAACACAGGTGTTAACACAACTGCAGCAATGAAGCACTGCAACACCAGACTGGAATGCTGCTGCATGATTTGCACACAGCCAGGTCTGCAACGTTTCCATCCACTCTAGGGGGGCAGGACAGAACCGAGGATCCCAGATTCCCAGATCTCTGTTCCCAAGCTATTTGAATAGCTCCTCTTAACAGGATACATCTTCCCACAGATTTCTGCACGTGCCAGGATATGCACCACTCCAGGAAGGCAGTAGGAGAAGATGCTTGGATGGATTCTCTGCTCAGGCTTATGTTAAACACAACCCAGAACAATCAGGTGCCTGGTTAACCTTGCATCGGGGGGCAGCTGACAGATGTAATCCAAGAGAAGAAAATGTTTTTCCTAAAATGATCTCATTTGTCATGAAATCCTTGTCCAGAATAAGTTTTCAGGAACTGATTACTTCAGAGGAAAACATCCATAACAGCCTTTAGAATCACAATGGGGGGGTCTTGATAGATGAAAAAAATTAACATGAGCCAGCAGTGTGCCCTTGTGGCTCGGAAGGCAAATGGGATCCTGGGCTCCATCAAAAGAGGAGTGGCCAGCAGGGACAGGGAGGTGATTGTTCCCCTCTACTCTGCTCTTGTGAGGCCCCATCTGGAATAATGCATCCAAGTGTGGAGCCCCCAGTACAAGAAAGACAGGGAGCTGTTGGAGAGGGTCCAGAGGAGGGC